TAGTACCTAGTTACATCGTAAATTAACAATTTCTATACAGCGTAACGAATTATTAAAATTAGCCATAAGAAGTAACTTGATGCTACAATAAATAGGGACCTATTTGCTATTTGAAACTTGAACTGAAACTGAATAGCATGAAATGTAACAAAGAGCACGTGTCAATCGCTGTGTTTTACCAACGTATTTGTGTGTACGTACGTATTTATGTTTATGAATAGGCATAAGCATAGGTAATAGACGCTTTACTAAAACGCAGAACAGAGGCCTTAGTACGAGTACGCGTTCGGCGCTCTGATTGGCCAGCACCAATAAACCAACCAATCAGAGCGTCGAACGCGTACTCGTTTCGAATACCTACTTTAAACGTAAATCAAACTCGTACTAAGGCCTCAGGGTGCTTACTCTTGAAACCACTCTCAATGTCAATGCAACTTGAATCCAATAAAATCTCAATTATTGTTTAATGTCAACACTATACAACCACAATCGTAGCTCTTGAAATAGCATTCAGAGTAGGGAATATAAAGTCAACTCAATACCATTTAGTTCATTAAATATCCACGCAATACGGATGCAATAGGCGCTAGTGTTGAACTCAAGTGTACGAAATTTCACATTACCAATGTCGATCGATCGGCATTGAATTCAAGAGTAAGCCCCAGGTAGTGTTGTTGCGGTTGTCCCTAAACTACCCACGCACAACAAAAAATTACAATCACACACACATGTGATGCGAACCTTAATTACACACAATATTGTATCTAGCACACATTCACTGTTATGTTACTTATGTAGATACTTACCCACACCTCTACCCATTCTATCAGGGTAAGTATAACAGTTGCGTTGTTATTTTATGGCGGTGCCGACAAAGAGATGAAATAATTATGTTGGTAATCAATTTGATAGCGTTACTACTATACTGCCGACCGGCCTTTCCAACCAGGGGTGATGCTATCGCCACATTTGCCCGATGGCAATGGAAATTGGAATTGGAACTGCTAACACACTGTTATAAAACTCGTTTGTTAGTTCGTAGATTAAACACGGTTTAGTTAAAGGCTTCTATTTATCTAGGTCTCTGCCATTATTTTAAAGATTGAGTGCTAAATCTTACGATTAGGAATACTGTTTTGGCATTTAATAGCCCTTGAGAAAAATGCCCTAATGCTAATTAATACCCATCTAGGACAGGCAGGTGAAACCAACCAAAGAACAGCTAGTGGAGCTAGCTAATCACTTCGACCACGATAACGGTGAAATACGGGTTAAAATATTGAATTTATGATCGGATATGTTGTAACCAGTAGTCGGATTTCTGATCTAAACATTTATATTGGGGCTTAGATATAAGCAAAACAAAATTATAGAAGAACGTACACAAGTTCCAATTATGGGGAAACGTGTAGTGTGTGTGAGTTGTGCCGGCCGGGCAGTCGCGCGCCACGCCATGCCAGCGGAAAGATCAAAGTCACAGAGATGAGTATCGTATCACCGGCCAGCGGCAGAGACCCGCGCACTTTTTATATTTTTTACAACGGCAACGTAGCACACAGTTTACCATTTACAAATATCTGCTTTTAAAAGGCAAGCGGTAAAATAAATCTTTACAATTTTGTTTTGTGCCGCGGATAAGCATTCAAAGTTGCTTTTGGAGGTTGATTTCTTATGCTATACACTAGATCTGCCTTTTTAGCAATCTTAGAAGATAACTATGTTCAGTATGTAGATAAATAAACGTATACTTTATAAGTAAGTACATATTTATCTACATATAACATAATCAGAACTTCCGAATCTGTAGTTCAATTAATGGCATTTGCTTATCAGCTTACTAAACTCATTCACATAAAATGTAGCTAAGTACCTACTTAACGAAATAAATAAATGGGAATCTCATAATAGATTAGGCAAGTTCCACAAATTAAGTAGGTAAGGTCATTGCGCACTGAATCAACTGAACTGAACAAAATTTCCAATTACCTGCGTACGCTGATTCACCTACATACCTACCTAATCTTGAGACAGACAAATTCACGAAAGATCGATAAAAACCGCGACCCAAGACGTGATGAATCAGTTTCAAAGATTACCAGAGAGGTAGTACTTACTTGCTACATTACAGGTAATAAACGGCTATAATATCAGCTGTAGAGATCGATACCCTACTTGTTATGTTCTTGATGCTAGAAGAACATACCAAAGTAGCTTAGGAACCTACCTAAATCATCTTCAATATCATTAAGTATTCTAAAACGTATAAAAAGTATGGATTACATTACAAAACCTTTTTTGAATCAGAATAACAAAACGACTCAAACATTTTTAATGTGCAACATTTTTTGTCTCTATTTGCAAGCTGCAACGTTGAAGAGGTTGCCAAACGATGATGGCACGTGACGCAATAACCGGGCGGCGCGTTTGATGTCCGCTTTGTATCTGTAGTGTTTGTAGAATTATATGGTTCTGGGGGCCAATTCTCGGCTTTAGAGATGATGTCGAACTCGACAAAAATGTCTAATGACGTCATTTTTTCGTCAAATTTTAAAAGTTGCTATTCTGGAGATGTCGAATGCGACATTTGTCGAAGGCTAACGTTAGAGTTCATGTCGAGTGCTTCTGAGCAGTAGAGATGGCATGTCGATTGTAGAGATACGCCATTTCTGAGTGAATTCGTTTGATTTTGGGATTGTAGTGTCTTTTTTCTTTCGTTTTGAAATAAAATACGGCTTTGCATCTCATACCTACTGGAAATTCGGTATAGACTTTTCGATTTGTGCATTCTCTACAATGAAGCACTTAACTCGTCGAGCACCGTTATTATAGACACAATTAAAGAACAATAGGTTGCGGTCACCGGTGTCCGCTTGGTGTTTGACAGTTTAAGAAAACGCGATCCACTATCGAGCGTTGTAATGGAGTGCTAAAGGGCCGATTTAGGTGTCTTTTAATACTTTAAAAAAAGGATAGGGTGTTACATTACACACCTAATAAGGCTACTAAAATAATTAACGACTGCTGTGTATTACACAATTTGTGTATAGCCCACAACTTTGAATTCTCTGATATGCCTGAAGAGAGAGAGTTA